CTTGACAGTTAAATCTGTCTGGGCAGTTTTAAAACTGCTGGAAATGGACTAAACAAGGGACTGTTTGGACTGGAAAAAAAAAATTGGCGCAAAAAATTAATTTAATTTCATTTAAAAATTCAAATAATTTTCCCGTAAGAATTTGAAAAAATTTTGTCCAAAAAATTAATGTTAGAACTGACCCGACCCACAACCCACACCCGCGCACGTGTATGGTGGTTTGGGCTAAGGTTCACATTGTTCATAACTTCTCCCTTCTACAAACTTGGGGTGCCCCTTGGGCCCAATCCAAGTGTTGTCACTTAAAACTTATATACACACACAAGTTCTCTTAAAATTCCAATGTGGGACAAGCCTTACAAAGAAACCCACATTTTATTATTTAATTGTCCATTTCACAAATTCGAAAACGACATCAACTTCTCATTCACTCATAAATGGTTTTGACGAACAGTCTTCACCGTGTGATTTTCCATATGGTAAAGAACATGTCACCTCTTTGGACCCACCTCAAAAGACATGTGGACCTCAGTCAAATTTGGGTTCAAAATTAGTCCAAAATAAGCCTATAAAACCATTATTTGGGATTCTCAAAGTGTAAAATTACACATTTTGACAATTTACACTATAAAAGTTTTGAATTTTGTCTCATTCTAGAATCACATTATGAACAAAAATCTAATACTCTAATGTAACACTTTAATAACGTAATACTTCAATATAACACACTAAAAAATTCCTTTGAATACTTTTCTCAAACGTAACAACATAATACTCAAAAAAAATTATTTGGTGTACTTTTTCCAAGTGTAACGCTCCAATGTAACACCAATATATATATATTTATTTATTTATTTCTTAGTGTATTTTTTCCAAACGTAACATTACAATCAGCGTAATCCTAAACGTAACACTCTAATGTAATGCACAAAAACACTAAAAACTTTTTACTATACTTTTTTCAAACTTAACACTCATAATTTGAAATTATACATTTGTGCAAAACCTACTAAGGAATATTTGTACTCCTTTTGCAATGGTTTAAAAAATCTCACATTCTTTCTTTTTAATGTTACATTGGAGTGTTACGTTTAGGAAAAGTACACCAAAAAGTTTTTTTTTTGTGTTACATTGGAGAGTTACGTTGGGAAAATTACACCAACAAGTTTTTTTATTTTTATTTTTTGTTACATTAAAGTGTTATACTAAGGAATTTTTTTAGCGAAATGTTACGTTTGAAAAAAGTATATTAAGGAGTTTTTTTTGTGTGTTACATTAAAATGTCACACTAAGAAGTTTTTGTATGTTATATTAGAGTGTTATACTAAGAAGTTTTTTTAGAGTATTATATTAGTGTTACATTTAGAAAAATACACTAAGAAATTTTTTTTTTTTTTTGGTGTTATATTAGAGTGTTACACTAAGGAATTTTTTTAGAGTGTTATATTAGAGCGTTACGTTTGGAAAAAATACACTAAAAAGTTTTTTTTTGTGTTACATTAGAGTGTTATAATAAGAAATTTTTGTGTGTTACATTAGAGTGTTAAACTAAGGAATTTTTTTGAAGTGTTATATTAGAGTGTTACGTTTGGAAAAAATACAGTAAAGAGTTTTTTTATGTGTTACATTAGTGTATTGCACTAAGATTTTTTAAAATTTTTTTTTTTTTTTTAGCATTACATTAGAGTGTTACGTTTGAGTGTTACATTGGAGTATTACAGTTTAAAATTATACATTTGGCCAAAACTTACTAAGTAGTTTTTGTACTCTTTTTGAAATGTTTGAAAAATCCCACATCCTTTTGGAATGTTTGAAGAATCCCATTTTTAAGTCATTTTTGTATTCCTTTTGAAATGTTTTCCAAATAAAATTTTTTCTTTTTATATAAAAAAGAATTTCAAATTTGATTTTCATATATTGTGTACCTTACCTTTCTAAAACATATAAATAAAAAAAGAAAAAAGAAACATAATAGAAATAATGGTATAACCGTAAAATTTAATTTTTAAATAATACATTAAACCTACATTTCCAAAATCAATGGGACTAATTGGTCTATTAAAAAATCTTTAGGACTAAATGGATCACCATTCCTCAAGATGAGATTTATAGGTAAATTTTTCATAAATATATTAACTTAATAAAAAGTTATAAATGACACTTTATTAAATCAAAATTTGTCTTTTAAGTAATAATATATTTTTATTTCAAGTGTCAATCAAATGTTGAAAAATAAAAACAAAACATTTTTCTATATAAAATTAATTTACAAAAAAAAATATTCTTTTTTGTAAAATATTTTACGTCAAAATAAATAGAGTCCTCAGTTGTTGCACAACTGTTCCATCTAGATTTTATATCACAAACCTAACATAATAAGGTAGTGTTTTGATTACTTAATTTAATATTTAAATTCTTTTGATAATTCGTATAATTTAAAATTTTAAATGATTCTTAAAATATAACATTAAAGTTAAGAAAATTTTAAGAGTAAATTTTTTTCCTTAATATTGATTGAATTTATAACTGTTTATACATAAGAATCAATTTGTATTGTTATGATTTCACTGCCATTATCATCACTACCACTACTTGTTTATGCATAATTTCTAGTGCCATCTACACCACCCCTTTATCACCATTAATACCACCTCCACCACCATTGCACTAAGTAAGGCATCTTCAACCCTTACTCTTTATTCATATTAAATTTAAATTTGACTAAAAAATTTCCCAAAACTCTCTCCACTTCTTTACATTTAGGGTTAATTACACTTAACATTTCTACACTTTGATCCAAATTTTACTCTGGCTCCTCTACTTTTTATTATGACAATCAATTATTTACATTTTAAGTCAAACTGCAATGTTACACTTCGCATATCCACCATAAATGAAACTATTGCAATCAAAATTAAAAGAACCAAAATAAAATTTTGGTAAAAATATAAGAGTGCTAATGAAACGAGAAAAATATCACATATGACTCATATAATAAGTTTCTCTAATCTTATAATAACACCGGATGGGTAAAAAAGTGACCTTGCAACTTGATTTAAAATATCACTGCTGGAAATTAAGTTTTTAGTGACATTTAAAAAACGCCGCTATAGCTATCAAAAACGCCGCTAATTATTTTCATGACGTTTAATACCAAACGTCAAAAATGCGGCCGTCGCTATAACTTTATGACGCTTTAAAAGCGTCGCTATATTTAGTATAGGCAGCATTTTAAAAAACGCTGCGGTAAATCTTTTTTATTTTAAAAATATAACCGTTGACATCATCTATAGTGACGTTTGAAAACGCCGACATAGCTTCAATAAAGATGAAAAATATTCAATATATTAACTAAATTTAGGTAAACATAATACTAGATCAATTCATGCTTCTCAATACAAAAATATTTCAATTCCAAGATGAAATAAAGTTAAACTAGTGCCCAGTGATAAGTTGAAAGTTATTACAAAACAAATCAACACAAAAAAAAAAGGGGGAAAAAAAAGATCAATCATGTACCCTCTACAGCCCGGCACAAAAAAAATCAAGATATTTAAATTGCATGGATGAATGTCTAGCATAAAAAGAGGGGGGGGGGGGGGAACACAATTGCAAGACCAATCATGTACTCTTTATAGCACTCATGTACTCTTTACAGCACTGGGAAGCAAGTTGAAGGCTTCATCCTCTTCTTCCAACTTCTTTTCCTGATGACAAAAAAAAAATCCCAGGACTTAGTAAGAACAGATGGTGATAAAATAGTATCCAAATTCACATGTTTTGAGTTCCTATGCTGCCTTGACAAATTCACACTGCAGCTATGATGTGGTCAAACAGCTATACCTCTGGATGATTTGTTATGACATCAATTGGTCCAACAGTTTAAAGTACAGAAATACTGAAGCTCAAATTCCAGCAAAATTATAGTTTGCTTTTGAATTTGAGCCCTATCAAATTCTCGTCAGATCAATACAGCCAGTGCCTAGCCTTAACACTGAACAGATTTTAGGTAGGCATGCCAAACCAGCCATTTAACTTACTTATCTCAAAAGAAGAAAAATAGACATTCAAAGACTTTAATATATATATATATATATATATATATATCTAGAACTTATTACTTGTATTAATTTTCAGTTCAATGAGTTAAGGAGGCAACCTGAATCAAAACCTATTATGTTCAAAAGTGAGTAGAAGATTACATGAATGCAGCCCATCCAAAAAGAAGGTCAAACTACATGCTTACTTCAGGCAGTTCTGCAGGTATAAAATAGTATTGCCAGCTAAACATAAATTCAATCCCACAATAGATACTGCTGCTGCCATTCACATAAATCTAGTACATCACAAAAGTGACCAAAATGGCAATTCGGCTTCATTGTTCAAGGCCTACACAAAATGCATTTACACCCAAAAGGTTGAAATAATGAACTAGCATAAATGACCTTACCTTTTCCTCAGCTGAGGGCTGCAAGATCTCCAGCATTGCATCTACACTGATAGTTGCTTGTCTTGACTGAAAAAGCAGAAAGAAGACTTGTTTTAGTATGCTTAAAATGTAAATTCAAGTTCACATCTGAGTAAAATGAATAAAACAACAAACTTTCATACACTCGGCTAATGATCCCATATGTCAGGCAAATTTGACATTTTAACCCAAAATAAGTTTACCAACCTATGAAGTTAATAAGGCCATGAATTCAGTAGCTGAATCATTAAGTTATTCTCAATACATCTAGAATTCCAGCCTCGGCCCTGCCTGACTCTATTGGGTATGAGTTGGGGTTAATCGAGGTTGGGGATTAATAAAACTAATCTGGTCAAGGTCGGAAATAGGGCATCCCCTCCCTGAACCCCAGATTTTTTATATATTGATTATCAACATATCCCCTTAATATATGTTTATTATGTTCACTACATATTAGTTATTTGACTAAGCAAGTACCCTCATGGACTTCACTTCATCCAAGAGCAGCAAGGATGTCCATCTCTCTTTTTGAATCTAAGGTTCTATTCTCCAAGGATTTCATTGCATCTCCCATCTCTTCAGTTTCTCTTTTTTGTTTTTCCTTATCTGCTTCCTGACAAAGAGAGCAATGTACAAATTATATAAGAAGCCAAAATCAATTCACGATTGCAACAAAATAAGGAGATCTAAAGATGAAATAGAAAGCTGTATATGGCATGCTAACTTAATACCTCATCCTTTGCACGCCAAGGTTCGAAATTCCGTGATGCACCCAACTCAACAACATAGTCTGAATTTTGCGGGTCGGTCTTTATTGTTAACTCAGCAGAGTAATTAGTGCATTTGAAATAAAACCTGAATATTTGGATCCCCAAGTATGTCTACAAATAGTTTTAACATTTCAGTCAGTTCACTGAACAATAGTAATACATATATCATAATCAAAGTCTGAAAAGGATGTATTTTACCGATCATAGAAACAAGGATAAATAGTGTGAAGATAACAATATTATAACCATAACAAGGGTATCCATCTTTCAAACAGCATAATGTTGAAATTTCACCCAATGTCACCTCATGCTTTTACATAGAATATGTTCAGTCAGGACATCATTTCATTAGGTTAATCCCTATGTGAAAGTAGAAAAGATAAGGTAGATGGTAAAAATCTGGCATCTAGAGCAGTAGTAGATTTGTAGTGAAGAACGTACGATTGTCCAAAAGTACTCTGACCAAAAATGCTTGGCATGCCTCCAAAACTACTTGTACCAGCTATATTAAGGCACCAAAGAAAAAGGGGGGCAGGGGGAAATCAGCCATAAAAATATTGAAGATTTACAGAAAAGGTAGTTAAAGACTAAATACACCAAGTACCTGCTTGTGTTTGACCAAAGTTGCCAAACCCAAAAGAACCTGTTGTCTGAGCAGGTTGAACGGAGTGGAAAGGTGTTGAAAGTGAGGGCTGAAGAAGAGAAGAAATTAAATCCATATCGACAAAAGAACATAGAGGTCTCAAAAACTAAAACACGAAGAAATTAGATTCTTAAGAACAAACAACAATGAGATGCCTATAAATTATAATGTAACAATATCAGACATGTTCAGGCAAGTGTCACTCTACAGCTTCATGTAAGAAGTTTCCTTTGCATGGAGATTAACAATTTTCATCTATGAAGTACACGGTACAATTTCTAAGAAATTTTTAAATGAAAATCAATGAAAATGGAAAGCCATTTTTCCCACATGGTGCGTATTGGCATATGTGGAGTGCAAAAATATGCGCTAAAACATTTTATAGATACTGTACTTAGATACTACATTAGTTGGAAATACCAACATGTCCACATATCAAAACTTATCAATTTTCTGAATCCAGTACATCATACATCATGCCCATGCAAGTAACCTAGGTTCCAACTATCACCCCTAAAATATCAACTACATAAACATTGTCACACAGAGAAACTTAATTATGAGTTTTAAGAGTGACTTACAGTTGTTTGACCAAATCCTATAGGATTGCTTGTAGATAGCAGTGATGGAGTGTTTGAGAACAAGTTGCCAAACAAATTTGAGTGCAATTTTTATAGCTTGCAGTTGAGAGATCAAGTCTAAAAACTTCATTCTCAAATTTACCATCAGAAAACCATAAGGAGATATTTTTCTATTATCTATAGGGGTTAAGTATACGGACACCATCTCAATTATCATTCAACATTACTTGACCCTCAACTGAAAAACCCTAAACTTGGATCCTTCAATCATAAAAATTGTATAAATGCCCCCCTTTTGGGCAGCGCAAGTGATTTGATTTTATAGTGTTTTTTTTTTAATAAGTCATGGACGAGGCAGAGAATATGGATTTTTACATTTAATTTTTCCCTTTTCCAATTTGCATTTATGTTAAAATGTTCACATAGATGGTTCAGGGAATATGAAGTAAATATAGAAAAACATGGAACCAAAGGCTGGATATTCACTTCAGAGACTTGAGTTGAAATCAATCAGAAAATCTGTCCATTGTTTTTTTTTCTGTTTTTCTTAGCAAGAAACTAGATCTTATCATAAAAAATGGACATCATAAAAAAACAAAGAAGGCATACCCCTAAGATAGAATTACGTGAAATTGGTCTTCAAAATGTCATAGATTACCCAAAAGGAACTAGCTAGAAAACTCACAGCCCAGACTCATATGACTAAGATATTCAGCAGAATATTCAATCAACAAGCTGTTCTTTCTCTAAGTCCCCAAAGTTGACTTTATTCCAGGAAAATCAATTCACTGTGATGGAAGCATACCTTCTCACATCAAGAGCAACAAACGGAATAAGCCGTTCTGAAAGAAGATGTGCAATGATCCGAAAGAAACACAGCATAACTACTCTTAGACAAAACATGATAAACATACATCCGTACATAAACTGCTATCTTTTTTTTTCCTTCTTTTTTTTTTTTTTTTTTGGGGGGGGGGGGTTAAATAAACTACATTAATAATAGATCCACCATAACAAATGATTTGAGAGGACACTTACCAATCAGTCCTATTAAAAGAAAGGGACTCATTCGACAAAATTTTCTGCATGATCAAAAGATCCTCTCTAAAACTGCATCATCCAAGAGGGATGGTCAAATGGTCTTAAATTTTGAGCAAGAAACGTGGTCACAATAGCACCTGAGAATATACATTTTAAGTATCATGTAATGTAATGATCTTGTTTGTTATTCACATTAAATTAATACAAATATAAATTGATGAATGGAAGTTTAACGGCAATTCAGCAGTTTGTCATATGTAGCAAAAGACTATCAGCTATTTTCAAAATGACGTATGCATCTTTGAAATGTAAATCGATCAAGAAAATGAAGGAAATTGAAAGAATTACAAAGCAAATACTCACAATTTCTCCATGTAGGTCAAATTTCCTAGAATAGGAGGGATAGGTCCACTCAGGATGTTGCAGCTTAAATCTCTGGATCAAAATCAGGATAACGACACAGTTATAAGACAAACAAAACATTGAACGCTGGGTCTGTTGAGTTAGTAGTAAAACTCCAAAAAGGTCCCCTCAAATAAATTCAATTTTGTGAAAAATACCAGATTGAGGAAACAGCAAAATTAAAGCACTTACAACACAGCAAGTGCCTGCATCAAGCCAATCACCGATGGGATTTGTCCTGAGAGTTGATTACCTTGCAAAAATCTAGCCTGCAAAATAAAATTCAGAGCAATTTTTTAAGTAAATAAGTCATAAGAAATTAAATCACTGGACTTCTAGTCAGCTGATTGTAAGACAAGTCCCTACCAATCAAAAGAGATTAAACATTCTTGGACTAGACATAGTAGCGTTTATCCAGAATTTGGCGCAATTGCATTAGATGGTATACATACAAGACCTGGAAGGCGGTGCAGTTGCCTATGTTCTGAGGGATGCTACCAATCAAACTATTATTTCTTACATCACTGCATGTTGAAGCAAAATGGTAAAATATATCACAAGATGACCCAAGATACAGAAAACACAAGGAGCAATAAGAAATAGAATGAAGTGATCAAAACTTACAAGTACCACAACCCTGTCAGCTGACACATGTCAGGAGAGAGAGTACCAACCAAATTGTTCCCTCGCAAACCTGTTTTACGTTAAGAATAAAAACATACATACGCACAAATTCGTAAGAATTTCGACTCACAATGTGAAAAACATAGGAAATCATAAAAATGCCAATATGGAAAAGATAACTGAGAAAATGGAAGGAGAAGTGTACTCACAGATATTGCAAAACTTCATTCTAGTATATAAGCCTAGGTATTTCCCCACTCAGTGTATTCTGTGCAAGGTCTCTAGAATAAATATATTGAAACATATGCATCTCAGTCATCATTCTAAAATTAGATAGAAATTAAGGGTTGGTTTGGGATGTTCTAAAAAAGTGTACTTTTTGACTTATTGGCTTATGTGGGTTGGGTTTGATGTGATGTGTTAGAGAGGTGATGTGATTTAAATAAGATGATGTGACTTAAATAGGATAGTGACTTTCTGACTTTTTGTATTATTTAGTAGATGCCAAACTTGGCCTAAATGAGAAGAGAATGGAGAAAGAGGACTTACAAGAGTTTTAAATTTGGAATTTGGGACAAGGTTGAGGGAATTGGACCAATTAACTGATTGTTTTTCAAAATTCTGGGGAGACCCATTCCAAAGAAGGGAAGAAAAAAATTATACAAGACAGAATTAGCGCAGTAAGGGACTAAACATGAACATGAGGTTGTTTAGAGACTTACAGGTGTTCTAGTTGTTTCAACTTTGAAACTGAAAATGGTATGTCCCCATATAACTCATTGAATGATAAGTCCCTAACAATAACAGATTTCATATCAATTGGTGTATAGTAGATAAAATGGATATCACCAGAGAGTAACATAAAACTCAGTGAGCGGGAGCTTCAAATGCTGCAGACTAGTGACAAAACTGAATTATTGTCTCCAAAAATATAAAACACTTACAAGCTTTTCAAAGAGGAGCAGTCACCAATTTCATCAGGGATCTGTCCTGAGAGGTGATTTCCTCTCACATCACTGTTCAAAAGACAGTGCAATGATAATCATTTCCAAAATAAAAACCCATTAAAGTTGATGTACTGCACAGAAAGAATTTATTACAAATACAATGACAAATAGAGAAGAAAGAAGGGGGGATACAATACAAGTGAAGAAATTATACATAGAGAGCAGACTTTTAAGGTCGCCAATCGCAGGTGAGATTTCCCCATCAAGATTTAAACCTGAGAGATTGCTACAACGTTCGAATAACCAACCAAAAAGTCAACATTTTGAACACCATGAAGCCCAAAAAAGAAAACGCCAAGGACATCAAAACCAACAAGAATAATAGTATGTGATTTCATAACCATAGTTGAATTGAATCACTATGAAAGAAAGTAAAGTCTTGTTGACTTTAAAAAAAAAAAGGAAAAGGAAAAAGAAATGTTAGGTAATGAAGTGTTAACAAAGGGAAGGGAAACACATACAGTGCAATGACATTGAAGGTGACATTGTCACATGTTACCCCTCTCCACACACAGTAGTCTTGGATATTGGATTTTGGTCAAAATTTCCTGAGAAAGGTGTTGCAAGCTGATTACCATGCAGCGCAACTTGCTCGCAGCTGAGGCAGAAGCCTCTTGTAATTCTGGATCCATTGCTTCATAACCTTGTATCAATCGAGTATACATAGTTGGAACCTACATATTACAAAAAGCATTGCAACAATAACATTACGACAATCCTATGAAATCTGGAATCAACACATTGTGGGCCATAAATGCTTCATAGTTTTTTTAAATAAAATATTACTTTGTCCCAAGTGTTCCCTTATGAGAAAAAACCAAACAGAAGAAACCAAAAAAACAAAGTCCCCAAATTGGGCCATAGGTAGTGAGAAAATTGGCAAATATAAACGACAATCACTGAACATCACAAAACATAGTATTTTAATTCATGCCATAAAATACTCGACTTACTCCCGTAAACACAATTATAGCATCATCCGCCTTAGTCCCATCTTTCGGATATGATTCACGCCATCTCTGCCAGATTGTCCTCACACTAAATTTTGGAATGAACTCAACCTTCAATAAATAAAACCAATCCATAAGAATCAAAAGTGCTGCAACAGAACAGAACTTCAAATAAAAGGCAAGACTGTTTTAGCATAAACAAGCAACCTAAGTTTGAAATTGAAAGCCAACTTTGTGAAACAACTATGAACATGAAATAGAATGGATTACCGTGGAACCCGTATAGCGAGGAGCAAGTAAAGCATTGAAAAACCCATGAACATGTACAGAGGGCAAGTTAAGGATCAATCAAACGTGAAATTATTATATAAAAGTTTTTCAGAAACATAGACCAAGAAACTGAATACATGTTACAAATATTTTAAGAACAGTCAAACCTAGCATTGCTGTAAAAAACTATGTGTGGAAATCAAGGGAGGAAGCAATCTTCAATTTAAAAAATTACCACTCAATGCTAGTGCTGCAACACACATTTAATAGATTTACCAAGTGAATAAAAAATTAAGCACCCAAGAGAAAGCTATATTCAATTTAAAAAATTACCACTCAATGCTAGTGCTACAACACACATTTAACAGATTTACCAAGTGAATAAAAAATTAAGCACCCAAGAGAATGCAATATTCAATTTAAAAAGATTACCATTCTCAACAAGTACTTGGGCTACAGGAGAAGTTAAAGTTTCACCAGGTGAATAAAAAAATTAGACATCAAAAGCATTAGTGGAATCTAAAATCCGAGTAAATACAAAGCATGGTAGTCTCTTCCGTGGCTTGGACAGGAGTAAAAAAGCCCCACAAAATATACTTTAAAGGCGATCCCTATCTTTGGAAATGTTTGTCTATAGTTTCATATTTATGTCTAAAACCCAGGAAAAAAAGGGGCAAAAAATAGAAATCTAACAGAGAACGAGAAATGGAGAACTTCAACTTGAGCTTGGCATATAAACAAACATGTAATATACACAAATAAATCCAAATATACATACACACAAGATTTGAAGGTAGAGAAAGTGAAGAGATTGGAGATCTGTACCTCAAGCTAAAGAGAATCTTGAAAAAGGAAAGTAAATGTATGTATGGGTAAGTATATATTCAGAGATCTTTCAACTTTTTCAACATAACAGACCAGAAAACGATGTGTTTAGACACAAATCAACTCCTCCTCCTCCTCCCCCTCCTCCTTTTCTCTCTCTCTCTCTCTCTCTCTCTCTCTCTCTCACACATCCAGACTTGAAGCAAATACTTAAATCTAGTTCAACGAAGCAGAGAGTAAAGAAAAGAGAAAAGCCACAAATCAACTTGTAGTTTCTTGCTTACAATTTCAATTTCAATAACCAAATCGAGAGAAACGGGAAGGAAGAGCGAGAGAGAGAGAGAGAGAGATACCTCACTGGTGCAAATAGCGGTGGCGGTACAAATGGCGGTGGCGGTGGGGCTTCGAAATCGAAATCGAAATTACAGAGTCAGATGAAATCGAAATCAGAGAAATCGAGCGGGTGCAAACGGTGGTGGAGGTGGAGCTTCGAAATCGAAATCGAAATCGAAATCGCAATCGCTTTGAATCTCAAAGACGAATCTGTGAGAATGATAAGGGTTTAGAGATGAATCGAGAGAGAGAACTTCAATTAGGGCTACAGCGAGAGATGAATCGATACATTCAGACAGTTTAGAGAGAGAGAGAGAGAGAGAGAGAGAGAGTGAGATTTTAGGGCTACAAAATATGTATTATATTTTATATTCACCGCTCGCCCATTTTTAAGAGAGAGAGATAGGACATTCGAAGGCGTTTTCAAACGCCTCTGGTTATTGAAACGGTGCCGTTTTGATTTTAAAAAAGCAACATTTAAAAAACGTCGTTAAATATTGTGTCGCCAAAACTCATTTTTCTTGTAGTGTATTAAGAATTGATTGTTACAATTAAAATAAAAGGGCCAAAAATCTTGACAAAAATACAAGGGCGCTAAGTGTAAGTCCTCACATTTATTTTGGGACGATGCCATTGTTCAAACATTTCTTCTTCTGTTTGGATTTTCTATATGAAAAACAAACATACAAGCTCAGTAAAAGCTTCTATAATATGGAAATGCCATGAGGGTGGATGGGACATTGACCATCATGATAAAGGTGAAATGCCTGGTAGCTCGAAAAAGAAGGGTCTCGAATGGCCCGAATACCTGGTATCTCTCTCTTTCCTTTTTTCTCTCCTTTCTATCTGTCTTTCTCCAAAAGCATCCCTCTTATCCCTCTCTACAAATTTGCCTCCCTCTCATCCCTCTTTGCAAATTTGCCTTTCATCTTCTCTCTCTATATCTATATATATAGCTATTTATCTGTGGGTTTGGTTTTGGGTTTAGTTTTGATTTTGGGATTTGATTTTGATTTTGGGTTCAGAAAAGAAGAACGAAGAAGAGGAAAGAGATTTGTGGCTGTGAGTTTGATTTTTGATTTGGTTTTGATTTTGAATTTTAATTTTGCGTTTGGATTCAGAAAAGAACAGAAGAAGAAGAGGAAATAGAAAGGTTTGAAATTTGCTTGACAGAAAAGGCTTTGTTCTTGGTGGATTTTGGATTTATATGATCTCTCTCTCTCTCTCTTTCTCTTTCTCTTTCTCTCTCTATGTATGGATTGAAGAAATTATGTTGGTGAAAGAACAATGGTAGGTAAAGAGAGCTTTGAAGGTTGGGATTAATGGTGGATTTTAGAGCAAACAAACCCAACACCACTCTTCCTCTCTCTCTTTGCCCTCTCCTCTGGATTAATTGTGGCTTGAATTTTAGATAGAGAAAGTGGGTTTGCTTGAAATTTGCTGCTTTCTCTCTCTAAAAACTACCAAACCCACTCCAACAGCTTCCCATTCGGTCGGTGAAGCCATCTCCAGCATCCTCTCTTCCTCTTCCTCCTATGTTTCTCCTTCTCTCTTTCCCCCGTCGCCGCTGGGGTTTGGCTCTTGGGTTTGGCTCTCAAACTAGTTTGAGAGAAAAAAGAGAGGGAGAAGGAAAAAAAAAGAAAAGAAAAAAAGAAGCCAAAACGACGTCGTTTTGACACTTCGAGCCATTCGAGACAGTCAATTTCGAGCTACCCAGCAGAACTGATGATAAAGGGCTACTTGCACCCCCTCAACTGTAGATGACAAAATCAAGAGATTACACAAATTTGGATGGAATGATCAAAATTAAAATTAGATTTAAAATATGAATACTAAATTATGCAAAAATTAAAAAAAATTAAGAATCAAAGTGAAACTTGAATCAAATTATAGGTGTAAGAAGTGCAATTTACCAAGTAAAAAAAGACAACAAAAATCCGTTCACGTATAACATTGCTCTTAACAGAAGTGCACAAATATTCTCTAGACTAGCACTTCAATTTGATTCAACTCAGGCCCCAAAATTCCAATCTCCACACAACCATAGCTGCTACAATAGATTGAATTATTATCAAAATCATGGTTGGTTCTGATAAAATGGCATAGGACTACGAATTCCCACAAAAGTGTGGGATTAGCATTAGAAAATGCTATAGACCCCAAATTTTTTACCAAACAAATGACCAAAATTGCGAACCCCACACCCATGTGAGACATTTGGTCATTTATTTAGTAGAAAATTTGGTATCCCTAACATTATCATTTCCCATGAGAGGGTTGAGATTGCAAATTCAATCCTATGGCCCCGTTTGTTTTGGGAGATAGAATAGAGGGGATTGATAGTGAGGGGATTGATAGTGAGAAATTGTTAAATTATTTTTATATAAAATAATAAAACAAATAAAAAAATATAAAAAATTAAACATTATATTTTAAAAAAAAAAAAAAACTCCCAATATATAAAAATAAAAAAAAATAAAAAAATTTCTAATCCCCTCACTATTTTTCTAATACCATCTCTACCTCCTCCTTACCAATCCCCCTTCCAAGGAGACTACTAATACCAAGGGACTAATAGTCCTCTCCCCATCTCTCAAAACAAACACCCCATTAGTAATACCAAGGGATTAGTAATCCCAATCCCCTCCCTATAACCCCAAACAAACGGGGCCTATGAGATTGGAAGTAAAAAGACTATCTTGCCTCTCAATTTACAATAACAACCACACACACACACACACACACAAAAAACTCTTTATGTAATGAGAACTTTTACGTGATTGTATAGATTTGATTCCAACCAACTAATATTACCATACTAAGGACACAAACAAATATATTTTATCTTACATTTCTAACTTAATACCACTACATTAATACTCCCATCACTCAATCCCACCGTATTCACAATCTTAGTCAACCTAATTCAAACAAATATGGCTCTGTTCTATACCTAGCCCAGTTCATGCCTAACCAACCATACCTGTAAATTGTATGTAAAGATGAGGATTTAGAGAGGTCAAATTGCACCAGGATTCTTTCATGTCAATCAATTTTATGACCTCGTTCAAAATCCATGGCAAAGAAGAAAGAAACTCTAAGAGCTAATACAAAAAGGTGAATTTGTCATAGAAATCTAGTTAGCTTTCCATCTCATGGAAAAAACTCTTCCTTTGAGCCAAAGGCAACCTCAATCGTCATCATCTATGGTTGGTTGGTCTTTCCATCTGGCTCACCCTAGGTGGGGGTGGGGGGTTCAAGCTAAAAGATTAAACACTAAAAAAAGAGAACAAATTACAAGTTTTGTACACGATTGTTTTAAACAAGTTTTGATGAGATCAATAAATGAATGGGGATCATGGCGCATCAACTCTCATGTATAAACTGCAAATCAAGGTCAGATTACCCAAAAACCAACAATGCAAGGTAAAATAAAACATATCCATGCACAAAAAACCATCCATGTTCAAAAGAAATGTCCGGCTCACTTTAATCTTCATACACAAGGTGTAAATCTAAATTATCAAAAACAAAGCACAAATATGAAACCACCAGAATCATCATACTTTGAACACACAAGTACATGTCATTGGCTGCGCGAAAGTACTCCCCAGTAAAGCCCAAATTTCAGAAGTACATTCCAGCAATACAGTTGAAAAGCACAATATCTATATACACGAATGGGGCGGTCTTCGATGAGCACAACAAAAAAGAGATGCTTCATCTTTCTATCTATTTGACAAATGAATTATGCAATAAATTATTACATACATATATGCTATGCCATGAGCAGCAGCTAAGACAACCGATCAATGGCAAAGCAAGTAGCTAAAGCATATACAGTGAGACAAGTGATGAGCAATTTTTCACAAGGTATATAAAGCCACAAACAAGTCTTCGTCACTGCATCAGATGTCAATGTTTATTAGCTTACTTGAACATAGAAGTAAGGAATTAGTTTAGAGCTGAAGCGGCCGGGTTGTTACTTGGCAACGACGCTAAACCGGAGCCAGAATCGGGATTGGTTTGCTCTTCACCAGCGTGCCGAACAAATTCTTCAGGGGACATGTGGGACCCATGGCAAGCACAAACAATCTTGATTTGGGTTGCGCTGAATCTAAAAGTCACACCAGAAATTGTCCGACCATTTGGGCCAGGACCCTTTGCAGAAACCCATGGTAGATTTGGGGACGAACCACATCCCCCAAATTTCAGCTCCGCAGCAATACCGGGCCTTATTGCTGAAAGTTCATAAGGAAAACCTTCTGCTCTCAGTTTGTCAGATTCCTCTTTTGTCCCAAAGATCATATTGCTTCCCTTCACACCATCTTCTGTCTGAGAAAAGGAACCTACATCAAGCACAAGCCTCAACTTAAAAGCAGGGGACAATTAAAAAATTAAAAAAAAAAAGGCAATATATTAAAAATAATGTATTCATAGTGAGATTAATAATCGGGATATCTGTAAGACTACTATAATGTGCAATAACAATTTTCTTATCTGGGTGCCTCATGGAGCTAGAGGCCTTAGCCTTTACGTGGTTGGCTCTTAACGGCTTGTATTGACCATCATTGAATAGCCTTTCTTTTTGATAATGAAACACTCACTTAACAGACACACACACACACACCCCAAAAAAAAAAAAAAAATGCAATAACAGAATGTTGAAAAAGATGGATTTATTTATTTTTAACATAGAAATGGATTGAAATCTATCAATTGGTTCAATAATGAAAATCAATCTGCATTAAAGTTTCTTTCCAATACAGAAAAGTGTTTCATACACAATCATATCCTGAAATGATGACTTTACACAACAAACAGTGAGATTTGGCTTCTATCTATGTAATATCTAAAAGATTTAGGGAAAATAAAATAACGATTTGAAGGGTGGAATAAAAAACCTTGAGATATCTTCAGCCCATCATTGTGTTTATCTGAGCTTGGTGGAAGCCTGCCAACAAAGGGAGGATGCAGCTGCTGAGGATGAGAAGCCAAACCCCAGGAGTCATCTTTGTCCGACACTGGAAGTTGGACAGGAGAATATCCAAACATCCCTGGAAAATTTCCAGGCATCACAGGTTGGGTCCCAGGTCGCTTGCTATTTGCAGCAGCCATCGCTTGCACCTTACCCGTTTGTGGATAGTTTGATGTGCCGGGTACCCCAAAAGAACTAGACTCCTTCACATCTAATGGGTAAGGCATATTCATGATATTTACCAATTGAGGTGGGAAGGGAACACCATATGGCATATTTCCATCCTTAAATTCCTTTTCAGATGAAATGGTAAACCTTTTTTGCCCTTGTAAGTCCACTACACTAGAATTATTAGTTGTTTGAATAGCATCCCCAATGTACTTTTTTGTACCATCACCGTGGTGTGGAATCAGCCTTGAGGTCGAACCTTCGACTTCAGAATCCGCAACATCTTCATTTTCAGCAGTTGAGCCATCATCTGTGGTTATGGAAATGTGTGATGGTCTTGGCTTGTCATGTAAATCAGCAATATGAGATTCTCTCTCAAGCTTCTTTTGATTGTTTATCTCATCGAACAAATTTTTTCGCTTGTCACCAGCCTCATGCCTCTTTTCCTCTTCAACTTCGGCACCCTTGTTAACATTTGAAACCCAAGTTCCTTTACCATTCAAGCTTTTAGAAGCATCCACATTGACAGCAGCATTCAAAAAATCATTAGGTTTTATTGGATCATTTCTCTGAGAACCAGTGCCAAATTCCTGTTTCAGATTGCCACCCTCAAGAAGGTTTTTGAAATCGTTGATCAATTTGTTGCTTCTGTCACCTTCGAATGTCCTAGTATTTGAAGAGCTATCATTTTTATCATTAGACTTGGCAGATGAACAACACAAAGATAGACCTAAGCTAAGCTCAAGCCCATTCTCATCCACCATTTTGATGGAAAAGGTGTATCAACACAATTCAGTTATAAACCTATTTGACTTTCTATTTTTGTATTACTTTACAACCCATGACTTACGAAGCAATCCTTAACAGAATTTCAAGCAACCATCCTCGTAAAACAACACCTGCATGAGAAGGTCATCTCAATTAATAAGAATGGCTATAATATAGTTTTGTCGTGATAGCCATAACAACAAATTGTCCCACACATGGTGTCTATGGGGATGAAAGAAAATAACATTATTCCAAATCAAATACAACCTTTAAGCGTCTCAGTAACAAATAAAATCATTGATTTAAGTGTGTTCTTATTCATTACAAGTAACTATCACAATTAGAGGTGTTCAAAAAAATTGGTAAACCGATATTCGGTTCTTGTTCCAGTTTCAAAAATGATAGAACCATTCAAATTGGTTCGGTTCCCAGTTCTTGGGCCCTGGTCATGGTTTGAATTGAACAGTGATATATTTGTTTATTATTTTTTATGTAAAAATAAGAATATAAAAGTTACTAGAAAGATATGAACCCTAGTCCTCATTGTTGAATTGACAAGTTCTAACCAACTTAATTATTGTTAATATGTTTACTATTATAAAATATATATATCATATTTCTTGTTACATTTCTAGAACCGTACTACCGAATTGAACCAAACTGGTTTCTATGGTTCAGTTCAGGTTCAGATACATAAGTTTAACGGTTCCAATTTTTTTGAAACTGAGTTTTGCTCTAAAATCGGATCAACCCCTAACCACAATGAGGTGCAAAATATTAATGTTGCGTAGATAATCAAGCTTATCCCACTTAAGGATGAAAGATAATGATTTTTGGGGGAAAATGGGCCTATACAGGTTGGTGATCACTGCACAAACAACTCAAATAAATATAAATATAAAAGATATAAAAACAAAATTAATTATATTCACCCCTCCCACTAATCACATTTATTCCCAACTGAAGTCAGTGTTTAACAATAACAAGCTAATACCCAAAACCCAATCTGCATAAACACTCAAATATCTCAAAATAATTATCAGAAATTCAAGTTATTTAACTTGGTTCAATGGTTAAGACTTGGCCTAATAACCTTGAGGTTATGGGTTCAAGTCTTGGGACCACCACTTTGTGTATTATGCCAAAGGTTAGGTGTGGACTCAATCTTTACCCTCCCAAACACACATTAATGTGTACTAAGTGGGCGCTGTTTTTTTTTTTTTTTCAAGTTATTTAACTCCTGCACAAGCAATTTAAAAAGAAAAAAAAAAGGATAATTATTTAGGTCCCAAATTAGCATATTTACAAAAATAAGGTAAGCAATAACAGAAGAATCATTCAAGACTAACAACTTGGAAATATGAAGAAAAAAAATGATAAATTCAATTAATAAATAGATCTCCCATCACCAAATCATACATGTAAATCCAACAAATTAGCAACACAAAGGTCCACGAATGACAAAATGAAAAAAAAAAAAAAAGGGGAGACACAGAAAACAAACCCACCTCAGATAAAAACTAATTAGTGAAAACCCTAGAAACTAAGCGATCAAAAATCTATAAAACCATCTCAATTTTAACAAGAAAAATCTAGAGAATTGTGAGAGAAGGCTGCAATAGCATACATAAAGAGATGATGATACGGTGTACAATACAAAATAAGAGACAAAGAGAGTACCTAAATCATGAGAGAGAGTCAATCAATCTGTAGGATAGAGATAGAGCCCAATTCAATTCTTCCATGTCTTCTCTATCTCTATCCTACGTATTGATTGACTCTCATGATTCAGGTACTCTCTCTGTCTCTTATTTTGTATTGTACACCATATCATCATCTCTTTATGTATGCTATTGCAGCCTTCTCTCACAATTCTCTAGATTTTTCTTGTTAAAATTGAGATGATTTTATAGATTTTTGATCGCTTAGTTTCTATGGTTTTCACTAATTAGTTTTTATCTGAGGTGGGTTTGATTTCTGTGTCTCCCCCTTCTTCTTTTTTTCATTTTGTCATTCGTGGACCTTTGTGTTGCTAATTTGTTGGATTTACATGTATGATTTGGTGATGGGAGATCTATTTATAAATTGAATTTATCATTTTTTTTTCTTCATATTTCTAAGTTGTTAGTCTTCAATGATTCTTCTGTTATTGCTTACCTTATTTTTGTAAATATGTTAATTTGGGACCTGAATAATTATCCTTTTTTTTTTCTTTCTAAATTGCTTGTGCAGGAGTTAATTAACTTGATTTTCTGATAATTATTTTGAGATATTTGAGTGTTTATGCAGATTGGGTTTTGGGTATTAGCTTGTTATTGTTAAACACTGACTTCAGTTGGGAATAAATGTGATTAGTGGGAGGGGTGAATATAATTAATTTTGTTTTTATATCTTTTATATTTATATTTATTTGAGTTGTTTGTGCAGTGATCACCAGAGTTCAACCTGTAAAAGCCTATTTTTCCCGAAAAATCATTATCTTTCATCCTTAAGTGGGATAAGCTTGATTATGTCCGCGGTTCAGTTTGGGGTTCGGTTTGGACCCGTCCGCATCTTCGCGGTTTGGAGAAAAGTCAACCCGCAACCGCCTGCAATGCAGTTTGCGATTTGTGCGGATAGGGTTTGCAGATGTGCGAGCGGTTGCAGATTGAACTTTTTTTTCAAAAATTTATTTTTAAACCTTTTTTTTTCTCCCATTTTGTGTCAATCTTTATTTTCTAAAATGCTCCAACATTAATAATTAATAAATTAAAACTTATAAAAAAACTTAACAGATTCATTTTCACAGATTCAAGTTAACAGATTGAATCAAGTTAACAGATTCAAATTCACAGATTTAATTCCAAAAAACAGATTATACAGAGTCTACAGACACAGATAGATTTAATTCCAAAAATTAAATAACAGATTTAAATAACAGACAGATTTAATAACAGATTGATTCCAAAAATTAATTCCAAAAATTAATTCCAAAAGTTAACAGATTGAATCAAATTAAATCAAAAATTAATTCCAAACAGATTCCAAAAAAATTAAATCAAAAATTAATTCCAAACAGATTCCAAGTTAAATCAAAAAACAGATTTAATACAAACCCAGAGAGTGAGAGACCGTTGTGAGGTCGATACTCCAAAAACACATTAATTCCAAAAAATATCCTCCAACAAAAAATATCCAAAAACACAGATCTGTTGTGAGGTCGATACTCCAAAAACACATATAATCCAAAAAATATCCTCCATCAATCCAATACCACATTAATTCCAAAAACACAGATCTCTTGTGAGGTCGATACTCCAAACACAGACAGATCAAAGATCGGGGAGAGTGAGAGAGAGAGAGAGACAGAGAGAGAGGCTTACTTGTGAGGTCGATCGGTGCGATGAGAGGGTCAATCGATCGGTCGATTTTGCGATGAGAGAGAGTCGATCGGTGTAGATGCAAACCCAGACAGTGAGAGACTGTGAGATGAGAGAGTGAGGAGGGAGACAGATCAGAGACACAAAGATCGGGGAGAGAGAGACATAGACAGAGACTGAGGCCTTGTTTAGTTTGCTTCACAAAAAATTTTGAGAAAAATTCTCTACAAATAAGTTTTTAAAAGTAATCAAATTAAATAAATTTTTTCAATTTTTTTTTTTAAAATTTGTTTGGTTTACAAGTTTTCTAAACAATCTCTCTCTTATACACATCAAATCAATCACTTTTTTCAAAATTCTCTCTCAAAATAATTTTTCAAAACATCTTTTGAAAAAAAACCAAACCAAACAAATTTTCGTATTTTTTATCTCAAAACATGTTTCTCAAATACAAAACAAACAAGCCCCGAGATTCAGAGAGGAGCTTACTTGTGAGGTGTGCGATGAGGTCGATCAGTTAATCGGTCGATTGGTTAATCGGTCGATTAGTCCATCTTGCGAAGAGAGAGAGTCGATCAGTTGGCGTAAGCAGTGGAGATGAAAATCACGAGAGCAAGAGTGAGAGTGAGAGACACAGAATGTGTCACGACCCCAAACCGCCCCTAGTAGTTTGGTGCCGTGATGGCCAGTAATCCGTAATTACCGAAGGCCAACTTTTCAAACTTAACACAATCAGAGTATGGATATAGGGGGCTCACAAATGCGGAAGCAATAAATCAAATACTAGTGGTCCATAAAAGCTGTGCGTAGATCAAAGCAATGCCAAACATTCCAATCAACTTTACAAATTTAATTACAACAAGATAAAAAAATACATGTTACATCTTGATCAAAAGGCTTCTCGAGCCGACATATACAAAATACAGCTAATACAAGTCAAGGAGCATGATTTTCAAGATTTGCCGACATGCACAACAGGGCACCGCCGACGTAAATACAAAAGTAAAGCCGTCATAAGTACAATCCAAAACAAGCATCCAAACGATCTAGGCGTCGCCGCCGTCCTGCTCATCACCTACATATATATAGAGGGGTGAGTACAAAACTCAGTGAATGGTACTAATAATAAAGGTTTTGCATGAATATAGCCGAGGTCCTTCAAAACGAAACACATCAACTTTAGCAAGACGAGGGATGAACCGTATTCATCAATCAAATATTACGAGTATCCAGAGATGTTTACTGACATAGGCAAAACAAGGGATGAACCGTATTCATCATTCAAGTATCATAACATCGGCGAAGCAAGGGATGAACCGTATTCATCATTCAAGTATCATGGGCTGTACGATCCGTAATCGTTTGGTCAAAGTATTGCGAAAGTTTGAAGTCCTCCAATACAAGGGACTTGTGTTACTTAGGCCCGTAGCCCGATTTAACAAGGACCGTATCCTTTATACTTAGTACTGCAAAAGTTTAGAGTCCTCCAGCACAAGGGACTTGTGTCACTTAGGCCCGTAGCCCGATTTAACAAGGACCGTATCCTTTTATACTTAGTACTGCAAAAGTTTAGAGTCCTCTAGCACAAGGGACTTTCCGAGGATAACAATCAAACAAGGCTATCTATTCATGCTTAGCAAATACCCACGTCAAAACAAACAAAACAAGATTTATCAAAAGCAAGTGTAACATAGCTTTATTAGAAATACCACTCACCTAGTTCTTCAGGTGTAGACTCAAGGCAAATATCAAGGACCTACAATCACATGGCAAGTCACATTCTCAAAGCAAGCTCTATATACATGCAAATGATCTCGGCTTCCTTGCCAGATCCAAGTCAAAGACAAAGCAGAACAAGCTGGGAGCTTAAACACTGCTCCCGTTTCTCGAAAACACACTGGGTACCGTTCAGGATAAGCCGAGGTCCCGTTAAACAAAGTCAGGAAAACCTGGGTTTTCCTTTGAAGAATATGAAGAACATGATCATTTGAAAGATGGATGCAAGCTCACAACTTGTTACAAAAATCTGAGTTTTTATGCCAAGAGTTCAAAATATATGGGCCTGGGTACCTCTTAAAGAAAGTTATGCAAGAACAAACACAAAAACATGATTTTCGTTCCAAACTTTTCGATCAAAATGAGACTTTCTTCAAGAACACATGGAAAACCATTTTCTCTTACCAAAACCAACTTCAAAACGATGCATGACATGCAACACAATTCGATCATGCAATGCAGCTAGATAATCCATAACAACATTCAAAGTAGATCAAGAATCTTACCCCAAAGCTTGAATCTAACGGTTCAAGCCTCGAAGATCAAGCTTGGAAGACTTACTCTCACTCAAGAACTTCTCTAGAGCTTCTCTCTCTAAAACAAAGATTGAGACAAGAAAATGATTTGTTTCAAGGTCTGCCGGCTGCCTTAACAATCAGCTCGGACACGTGGCGTTATCAGGTTGGTTCGGCTCCAAAAAGTGATTGATAGACAAGACAAGTCTCTGACAAAGCTTATGCAGCAAGCTCGGGTAAGACACATCGGCAACAAGATGACATCGGCTCAAATCAAGGATCCAACAACAGGATAGAAAAACATCGGCTAGGGAGGACGACACCTGACTAAGCTGTGCCACACCTTGGCCGGGGTGTACCACATCTCGGCCTAGGCCATACCTGCCCAAGGACAAGGTTCACTAAGTGCGAAGCATCTCGGCAATGAATGCCCGAGGTGAAGATGGGTTGAACAAGATCTCAAGATAGTTCTAAGTACAAAGGGTCAAAGGCGGACTAAGCTCAAGATGACCTCGGCTACGCACACACATACACTAAGCAAAGAACAAAATCATGCAAGCAACTTTAAGCAAATCAAGGAAAGACAAAACCTTCAAATTAACATAACAAGCAAGACCATGCAAGAATGTATGCAAGCATGACAAGAATAAGGTGAGGGTTGTTACAGAATGAGATAGATAGAATGAGTTTTATGCGGACGGGTTAGGCAGGGGCAGGTTAAACCCGCAACCCACCCACAACCTAAAAATTAGATAAAATTCAAACCGCATTCTACCCTAATGTGCTTGCGAAGCCACCCATATATGCGTGGTTCGGATCGGGTAGGGTGGTTCGGATAACCCTATGTCCAGCCCTACCCAAAACCCAATCTGCATAAACACTCAAATATCTCAAAATAATTATCAGAAATTCAAGTTAATTAACTCATGCAGAAGCAATTTAGAAAGAAAAAAAAAAGGGATAATTATTCAGGTCCCAAATTAACATATTTACAAAAATAAGGTAAGCAATAACAGAAGAATCATTCAAGACTAACAACTTAGAAATATGAAGAAAAAAAATGACAAATTCAATTTATAAATAAATCTCCCATCACCAAATCATGCATGTAAATCCAACAAATTAGCAACACAAAGGTTCACGAATGACAAAATGAAAAAAAGAAGAAGGGGCACTACAAGAATTCACACTTTTGGCAACAAAAAAATTGGTCGCTAAAAGTCTATTTTTGGTCGGCAAAAGTTATCCACGACTAATTTTTTTGGTCGCAACTTTGGTCGCCAATTGAGGGTCGGCAAAAGTAATTCGCAACCAAAATTTTAGTTGGTCGGCAAAAGTTGGATTTGTCGACTAAATTTTTGGTCGCTAAATATTTAATTACCGCGACTAATTCATTTTGTCGCTAAAACACTTTGGTCGCGAAAAGTGATATTTTCCCGACCAAATATCTTAGCCGCCAATTGACACATTTCGTGACCAAAAAGTTTGGTCGCCAATTGTAACATTCCACAACCAAAAAATTTGGTCGCCATTTGTTACTTTTCGCGACCAAAACTTTTGGTCGGCAAAATTGAGATTCCACGACCAAGAGCTGTTTTGGTCGGCAATAGATGTATTTTTTGCGACCAAAACTCTTGGTCGGCAATTGTCATTTTTTGCAAAAAAAAATTATTTTTTTGTCCCGACTAATAAATTGGTCGCCAAAAGCAAGAAAACAATACACCTGTAATTCCTAATAATTCATTCAATCCATAATAAACGTATAATTTTAAAGCATCATCCATGATGTGAATGACACAATGATTCATCACATCCCTGTAATCTTTGAAATATTTGATAGAAAACAATGCACAATTATCTATTAATAACATTTCTATTCACATTCATCACAGATCAGCTGCATGCCTGCATCACCATCTTCTTTGCCATCTTTAAAACACAAACTAGAAGTACTCAAGTGCTAAATATTGATACAATATAAAATAAACTTTCTATATATACATATGAGAAGGTACCATAGAAACATTGCAAATTCCAAATTCAAGATGTTATGCAAACACCTTGACTAAAATACAAAGCCCAAAAAACTATTAGGCTGTGAATAAGCTAGATATGTTTCTAAGCAATTGCAACTTCCTCCTGATAAGAGTCCGTTTGTGCTTTACTACAAGATTCCAGAGTATCCTGTGCTGATTCGATGACAACCTGCCCATTGACATAGTGCTGGCGGCAGATAGGCATATAGACATCAGAACCACCAATTAGCTTAGTCCTTGTCTCATTAGTCTTCCTTAAGGTAAAAAAAACCCGCTTGCCACAGAGCTCGCACCGAGCTGTCAGTTTGGTTAAGGAAAGTCATTTGTAATCTAGTCCACCCATAAAAGATGCCATACAATTCAACATGGTCAGGCAAATGCACATTCTGAACAAAACAGAACTCATGGAACTCCTTCCACAATCTCGAAAGCAGAGTAACTAAGAAAAGTTACATAATAAGAGATGATATCCAAGTGAAAATCAAGTAGACATAAAATTATATATGGACATAACAGTGGTCCAAGATAGGAATTCACTTCACGCTCAGTTAAAATGTTTGGCTTGAAGCATCCTGGAGCACGTCAGAGAGGTCTCTCTGAAAGACATTTGTCATCAGATTTGTTTCACAAGTGAAGATAAAATTTCGCCTCATATTGTCCATTAGCATATTTTTTCCCTCATCATTTTCTTTTTATAAGTACAACATTGAAGATACCTAACTACAATAAGAAAAGTGATAAATAACATTAGTTAGAAGAAATCGAGGGTGCAAGAGAGATTAAAGATTGGAACAATTTATATCATGTAAAGACCAAGACAAACAACAATTGAGTACTAATTAAATAGTGACAACTAATGTTGCTGCTTACTTTTTCGGCATAG